CGGCTTGCTGTACCCGAGACCACTACCAAGGAAACTCCTGCCACAGTGAGTGCCCACTAGGCGACGTAAGTTACTCACGTGAGACGCGATTTAATCGACTAGAGTTAAGTAAAACACGGAGTGGTTACAGACTTTGGCCACGGCTATGGGGCCAGATTTCGATGTCAATTAACTGGGTAAGCAGGGCCTCTCTGTGCCGCCCCAACAATGCGAAGGACGTTTTTAGTGAATAACAAAATTTAACTCATGGTCAACTTTAGGTCCTCACGGCACAAGTGTCCAAAGCCTCGGTTGTGCTGTAGTGACTTCGAGGCCGCTGAACTTTTCACAGTTGGCCAACTAAAGAAATTTCCATCCTTTTATTAGTACCGTACAAGCGTCAAGCACGGCTGCCGTCCAGTGAATCGTCAGAAGCGCTTGTTTAACTCTCACTTTATCACCTAGGCAAGTTTCCAATGTCCGAAAATAAAAGCGCCGACTTAGGATATCGAGGGATGGCGAGACCTGTGGTGGCATAATCTACGGATTAAAAAGCTTAACATGTGTATGAATGTTCGTGTAAACGTAGCATGGGCGAGGTGACCACCGTTTTATAGAAAAGGTGCGACTATCCTAATGCTGTTCGTGCAATTTCTGGACTTTAAGGCCTCCTGATTGGGATTTAAAATGCGTCCAATTTTACGTTGTCTTAGAATTCTTTGTATTCCTTCAGTGTACTTCATCCTTGAAAGAAAATGCCCAGTGTTCCTTTATCAAAAATGATTCGGCTCCGTTTGGATAATCCACGAGTTAATTAATCACACGAAAATTCCCCTTAGTCATGATAAATTAGAAGGCCTGCGATTTTTTCATTCTGCGACCTTGGTGGGCGTAAGCTCCCGCCCGTGCAGTTGATTGGCTCTTTACTCCTAGGGACTGAATCTCCAGTCCCAAAACAGAATCAACCTTTTTGCTTGTCTCCTAATTCAGTCCTATTTTGATTGCCGACTTTCCTCTGAAAATTACTTTAACTCATATGTTCACCGCTGATGAGTTGTCGCGCCGGCACGCACTCAGTACGAACACTGACTTTTCATCTGCATTACGAATGAACATTTCTTCTCTGCGAGGAAGGCTTCTACCACCCGGAAAGGAATATGGAGGTTGTGCGTCAAGCCACGTTTCCCGCCTAAACACACACACACACCGTTTACTAGTCCTTCTCACAGGCGGCGCTGGTGCTCCCATATTTTCTAATGCCTGGGCTAGGGGTTTATTCATATGGGTCAATTCTGTCGCACGTAAGCTGGCGCTTTCCACACCAAAAGGGTTTTGATAGACCATTTGAAATGAAACGGATAGTCTGTGTTTGAGGCGTTTGAATACGGTGATCGGAGCTAAAAAATATAGAATAGAAAGCCTGGGTTACATCCTCGTGGCCGACGTAGAAATGTTCACTCGGGCTTAATGTTTCTAATTTGTTTAACTGTGTGGTTCGTGATACCTAGTCTTTATAGGATTTCCCGTTTCGAGAAATTACGAAATTCCAGGGCACTCCTAGAGCCTTTTGCATGTGATCTGTACATTTTCCTTGTTAAAAACGCCCACTCGAATGGGACATCGTCATGACGCCAGGGGATCATATATTTTTAGAAGGATAACGCCATTCCTACTTAAAATGACAGAACTATAAGTACATATAACAAAGCAGCTTCCAGCTCGAGTTTGGCGAGATGTCTGACAAAACCCTAGAAACTGTCGTTACTGGATCGATCACACCGAATATCATCAAATAAACATATCTGAAAAAAAATATAGGAGACAGAAAAACACGCGACAATGTGGTTTGCTAGGGTAAAGATGGTGGGAAGCCCTGAGAGCGGGCTTTATTGCACATTGTGGCAGGGAGGATGCATTCTAGCAGTTTGGTTCGTCACCCATAGATAAAGTTCTATGCGCAAATATTCGAGGTCCAGATATTATACTGCCTCCGTTACTCACATAAAGACGTTTATCTAAAATGCAGCCCTTAACTTAAGAATGAACTTTTCTCAGCGGTTATGCAC